GGTATGATTTCAATTTTTTTTGAATTTGCTGAGACTTGCTTTATGGTCTGCCTTATGGTCTATCCTAGAGAATATTCCATGCACTCATAAAATCAATGTATATTCTTCAACTGTGGGATGAAAGGTTCTATAGCTATCAGTTAGGTCCACTTGGTCCATAATGTAGATTAGCTCTATTATTTCTTTGTTGATTTTCTGTCTAGTTGATCTGTCCACTGATGACAGTGGGGTGTTGAAGTCCCCCATTACTATTGTCTTGGAGTGTTATCTCTCCCTTTAGATCTATTAACATTTGTCTTAAATAGCAAGGCATCCTGTGGTTTTGTGCATAAACATTTATTATAGTCACATCTTCCTATTCAGTTTGATCCCTTAATCATTACATGGTGCCTTCCTTTGTCTTTTTTAACAGTTTTTTGTGTTAAAGTCTATTTTGTCTGATGTTAGAATGGCTATACCTGCTCATTTCTGCTTTCTATCAACACGGAGTATCTTTTTCCATCCTTTCACTTTCAACCTGTGTGTATCTTTGTTGGTGAGATGTGTTTCTTGCAAGCAGCAAATAGATGGGTATTTTTTTCCCCAAAGATACCTCCTAGTTAAGGAATACAAACTTCATGCATTTCATCAATACAACTTTAGGAACATAGTGATTCTTCCCACCACACACACACACTCTCATGCCTCTTCCTCCTCCCTTCCCTATTCCCAGTCTTATTTTTTTACTAGGATCTATTTCAATTAACTTTATACACAGAAGATTAACTCTGCTAAGTAAAGAGTTCAACAAATTGTATGAAAAAAATGTTCCTCAACAGTCCAGACAAGGGCTGTTCAAAGTCATTGCATCTTGAAGTTGCTTTCACTTCTTTTTAAGCAATCTTTTTTGAGAAACTTAATTAACTTTAAAGAAGAATACAAGAATGATATATCTTTTGTGAGCACTTAGACATAACTGTAACTTGTGAGACAAAAGATCATCCTCCACTTAATACAATAAAATGTATTAAATCTTTCAGAAGAAGTTCAAGTTTTACTATTAACTCCCATAATACAACTCTTTTAGGACAGAATACCTGCATGGGAAATTAGTGCACAGTGACTCCTGTTGTTAACAATTAACACTCTTGTGTATGACATCAGTGATCACACAAGGCTCTTCACATGAGCTGCCTAGGCTATGGAAGCCTTTTGAATCCACAATATCCTTCAGTATTTATACAAGGCCATAAGCAAAGTGCAAGTTCTCTTCTCCACTCAGAGAAAAGTACATCCTTCTTTGATGACCACTTCTTTCCACTGAGGTCTCACTTACATAGGACACTTTTTGCCATGGTGTCTTGGCTTTCCATGCCTGAAATGCTCTCATAGGCTTTTCAGCCAGACCAGAATGCCCTACAGGCTGATTCTGAGGTCAAAGTGCTACTTAAAGAGATTGTCATTCTATGAGTCTGTTGTATGGACTGCTTCCATGTTGGAGAATTCACTCATTTTTAATTCTATTATTATTACTACCAGACATTTAGTCCTATTTATATGATCACTTTAACACTTAATTATGTCTATATGATCAGTTTAACACTTAATCTTATCCATATGATCACTTTAACACCTAAGATGACATCTTTAACACCCAGCTTAATGGGATTTGGGGTCCCATGTCAAGTTCCTAAATTGTACCCTTAGAAGTAAGTCCATAGGAATGTATGCAGAACTTTACAGCTTTACAGTTACAAATTTCATAATAACAACTTTGGGAACATGGTGATTCTTCCCACCAACCCTGCCTTCCCACCCACTCCCACCCACACTTCCTCCTCCATCTCTTATTCTCACTCTTATTTTTTGTTTTTTTAATCCATTCAGCCAGCTTGTATCTTTTAATTGTAGAATTTAGGTCATTTACATTCAAGATAACCAATGGTAAATCATGACTTGACCCTGCTATTTTTCTGCAAATATTCCCATTGTTTTCTTTGTATTTCCATAATGATGATTATCTTTCTGTGTTTCTGTGTGTAGCACATTCTTAAGCATCTTTTGTAAGGCTGGATGAGTGGTGACAAATTCTTTCAATTTCTGTTTATTATAGAAGACCTTTATTTCACCTTCATTCATAAATGACAGCTTTTCAAATTATAAGATTTTGGGTTAACAGTTTTTTTTTAAAGACTTGGACTATGTCTCTCCATTCTCTCCTAGCATGTAGAGTTTCTGATGAGAAGTTAGCTGTGAGTCTGATTAGAGATCCTCTGAAAGTAATCTGGCATTTCTCTTGTGCCCATTTTAGAATTTTTTCTTTATGTTTTACAGTTAAAACTTTGACTACAATGTGTTGTAGTAAAGATATATTCTGGTCATGTTTGTAAGGAGTTCTATGTGTCTTGTGTACTCGGATGTCCCTTTCTTTTTCCAAAGATTTGTCTCCTAGCTCAGATATTATTTATTCTGCATGACTAAGTCTGTGGTTGAGGCTTTCCACTATGTTTTTAAATGAAATATTAAATTCTTTATTTCTAATATTCATTTTGATTTCCCTGCATAATTTCAATTTCATGGAAAAATATTCATTCATGTTATGTATGGATTTCTTTAACTCGTGGATTTGCTTGTCATTGCTTCTGAGTAATCCTATGATAAATCTTTTAAATTCCATTGCAAGCATTTCATCAATCTCTTCATCTTCACATTGTAATTTTGAAGTGTTGTGTTCCTTTGGGGGGTCATGTTGTCTTCCTTATTCTTGTTTCTTGAATTTCTGTGTTTATTTTTAGATATTTGTGGAAATACTTGTTTTTTTTTTTTCCTCTGATGGCTTTTATATTTGAGCTATTCTTCTGTGGCTTAGTGGAATGTCTGCTCTTTCAGTGAATACCCAGAGATGTGCTGTGTTAGGCCAGGGAGTTCTGGTCAGTACTCCAGGGTGGGGTGAGTATTCAGGGTGACACCCAAGTTGGGCATGGTTGATTTCTTCTTTTTAGCAGAAGGGGAGGATCTGATCACCTCTATTGGTGTAATCACACCCTCACCTCCTCTCTTCCTAGGTAATCAATGTCCAAGTGTTAGCTCACCTGTGTTGCCTTATGAACCACACAAAGGATCTGTGAAATTCTCAGTGTGAGCACAAATTCCATTGCAATGTCCTACCCCAGGCAATGAGGGAGTTCTGAATGTATGGAGCAGCACACACTGATTGCCCAGAGACCCAGCTACACCCTGTGCCCTCTTGTGCAGTTACAGAGTTCCTCCAGTCTCAACACACAAGGCTCCCACAGTCACAGGGTACAGAAGATTCACTCTACCCTGCTAGCCTGTCCAATCCACAGAGAGGCAGAGATGTTCCTAGAGCCAGCTTCCTATTGGTGCTCCACCTAGGCATCTTGAGCCCTGTAGCCTGAGATATGTTGAGAGGGTGGGGGCACATCACAGTTCTTCGTGTGTGCCAAACCCCCTGTTAATCCTCCCAGTCAGACTCAGAGTCAATAGGAATACAGATTTTTCCCTCTGGTAGAATCTCTCAATCACATGCATGCCCAAGAGCCATAGGCTGAATGTTGGCTTCTTCCCACTGGTTGTAGGGTACATGCACACAAGCTGCTGCCACAATACTGCTTACAAGATGGCTAGCTGTTGGGCCCACGCACAAGCGTTTCTGCAGTTGCTGCTTATGCCCAAAATGGTGCCTGCCCTCTCCCAGCCAGTTGCCAGGCACTGTTGTGGAGTGGATGAGCAGAGAAACCTGCCCCTTTTTTTGCACTGGGTTCGCTGGTACCCTATTCTGCTCAGGGCTACAGGTCGGAATCAGCCCATGCTCTCCCTCCAGCTATATCTGCACTGTCATGGGCTGCTGCAGTCCTATCTCACCTCAGTCTCCAAAGCTTGCACTTTCTCTGGCTCTTGGCTGCTGGTGTCATGTGTTTTGTCTGTGCTTATGCTGCACATCAGCACCTTCCACACCAATCTGTGGCATACCTCTTCATTCCATTAAATTTCCCCTGAAAATGTATTCTCCCTCCACTATTTTTTTCTACTATTTACCCCTAGCCTAGAGCAGTAAATCCTTCCCTATTCAGCTATCCTTGCTCCTGCATAAAATCTTTTTTAAAAACTTCAGACAGGAAAGAATTCAGTGAAAGAAAACTTACCTGGGATAAAGAGGAGCATTACAAAATAATAAAGAATTCTTTAAGAAGACATAATAATACTATGTAGTCATCTAACAGACTATCAAAATACATGAAGCAAGAAACAATAATATATTTATGTTCATTAATAGAGAAATCTAAAATCTGCTGTAACATTATAAATTTATTTCCTTATAACATATATTACCATCTTAAATTTTAAATATAAAAATGCCAGTCCTTCCTTTTTAAAGTGAAAATAATTTATATAAGCATAAAAGAAAAATTAATCAAGGCTGACAATGAGGTTTGAAAGTTTCCTTTTGACTTAGAAATTGAACAAATTATTTTTAAGTTTAATTTTAATTGAAAAATAGGAATTGTACATATTTAGGGGTACAATGTGGTTCTTTGATATGTGCATACCTTTTGTGGTGATCAAATGAGAGTAAATAGAATATATATCACTTCAAACATTTATCTTTTCTTTGTGATCATAATATTCTAAATCCTTTATCTGGTTATCTTGAAATGCACATTACTAGTAACCATAGTCATCTTACTGTGCCACAACTTACTCTTCCTATCTAACCATAACTTTGTACTTGGTGACTAGTGTCTCTCCTTTTTCCCTTAAAAGTCACCAACTTACTAAAGAATGTAGTAAAGCTGGGGGCTATCCCACTAGAAAAATTTACATGCAACATAAACACTTCCCATGTAATTTCACAGAACACATTTATAAATTTATACATAACCTCACAGGGTATATGCATCCTCAGTGTACATCTAGGAATCCATACAAAAATAAGGAACAGAACCGCTGACTGAGCATCTGAATCATGGAAGAAATGTAGACTGTTGAACCATACATACCTCACTTCCTCAGCTTCATCCGATTCTACAGAGATCATGACTGTTGGCAGGTCAAACAATCTCAGTGTTTCTGTCTCTGTGAGTATTATATCTATATTTTTCTCCAGGTCTTCTTTTGTTATAATTGTTTCATGTATTGCCCTCATAACTTGTAAATCTAAAACACATCATTTAATAAACACAATTTACTAATTGCTATTTTTAGTTTGCATTTTTAAAGTCACTAAATTACCATAATGGGTAATACATTACATGTGATTCTATGTGAATAAGAACCATACCACATTGTTAGATATAGTCTGTTTGACTTCTCTGAAACTAAGATGGATCTTATAGTCCATAATATATGTCCTTCCTAACATGTCAAGTCTACCCAGTCTTATATCCATTGTCAAAATTCCAAGGACATGCTCACATGTTTATAGTGAGACTGAGGCTAGTGACTGTTAGCACTGTTCAGGGAGAATATGGGAGCAAACCTGAGTAACTATAAGAAAATAAGACTTAAAGAATGTAACATTTTCCAGACTAAGGCTCAGTCTTCTCTTAGGATGACTTAAAAATATTTATTTATTTATTTGAAAGTCAGAGTTACACACAGAGAGGAGAGACAGGCAGAGAGAGAGAGAGAGAGAGAGAGAGAGGTCTTGCATCCAAGGATACACTCCCCAATTGGCCGCAACGGCTGGAGCTGCGCTGATCCGAAGCCAGGAGCCAGGAGCTTCTTCCAGGTCTCCCACGTGGGTGTAGGGGCCCAAGCACTTGGGCCATCTTCTACTGCTTTCCCAGGCCATAGCAGAGAGCTGGATGGGAAGTGGAGCAGCTGGGACTCGAACCGGTGCCCATATGGGATGCCAAAACTGCAGGCAGCAGCTTTACCCACTATGCTACAGCGTCGGTCCTCACTTTTCAATTTTTATTATTTGTACAAATAAGGGAAAGATGTGATTTGTATAGGGAAATCTGGCTAAGATAAACAGGATAAGTAAAAAAGTAAATGAATTGTCCACATGGACATAAGAGGAGGTGTATCTAGCCAAATATTTTATTTGTTAATGAAGGAAATGAGAAATAGAGAGTTTATGAGAAGTCTAAGGCCATACAGGAATATCGACAGTTTTGAGATTAGAATTTTATGCTCCTGGTATTTGGACCTTTCTTACTTTTAGACCACCAAATCTTCATTTATGATTTAATTACATACACCTCAAAGTAACATTGTGGCACAGACATGCTAATTATAAAAATAACTAATCTTTTATTGGACATATCGCATATCTAAAACCTAATGTAGTAACATCTCAGTTACCTGTTATTGTTGAGGAAAGTAATAGTGTAGTCAACCTGCCTTTTTTTTTAAGATTTATTTTATTGATTTGAAATGCAGAGTGACAGAACCAGAGGAAGAGACAGAGAGAAAAAATGATCCTCCATCTCTTGGTTCACTCTCCAAGTGGCTGCAATATGAAGTCTGAGCCAGGCAGACACCAAGAGCTAGGAACTCCACCCAGGTCTCCCATGTGGGTTGGCAGGGGCACAAGCCCTTGGGCATAATCTGCTGCCTTTCCAGAAGTACTAGCAGCTGGGACTCTGCTTCCAATCCAGCAGAGCAGCTGGGACTCGAGCTGAGACTCATACAAGATGTGGGTGTCTCAAGCAGTCTCACTCACTGTGCTACAACACTGAACTGCAGTCAGCCTTCTCAATGGCAGAAGACATAGTCAGAGACATGGCCCTAGGTTAGCAAATAGGATTTTCCTGGATTTCTGTATCAATCATTTCCTGAATGCTACTTGAATTTAATATATGTTGTGAAACTACTTCAAACTATACTGTGTAGCTATAGAATCTGCCCACTTTATGGGTCAGATTTCCTAGCTCTATACGAGTTTTACAACATACCTTACTTAACTGCACCTCTGTCTCAACCTAGAAAAGAATTATAAATCTACCAATCTGCCTTGTCTGCAAGTCTTTACTGACAGTGATGGAAGAAACACAAGTTTCTGCACTTCCAGGGTCCTTTTAGGATGGAGTTCCAGACTAGTATGACAATCCTGGCTGCTCTCCACAACTAACTCATAAAGCCCCTTGAGAGGGTAGAAAAAGGTTTGAGGTGGTCGAGAATCTTTAGCGACTGGGTGGATGAATCTGTCAACTTTAGGGGCTTAACAGAAGATTTCCATCTATAATGTGATACTTTGACTCCAATCTAGCATATAAACTCTTATCACATTTTTCAATTAATTCAGAACTGGATTCAGGAATGGGATACAATCATTTGGCTACTTTAAGAGACCTTAATAAGGAGCAACTTATGGGCTGGTGCTGCGGCTCACTGGGCTAATCCTCCACCTGAGGTGCCAGCACACCAGGTTCTAATCCCGGTTGGGGTGCTGGATTCTGTCCCAGTTGCCCCTCTTCCAGTCCAGCTCTCTGCTGTGGCCAGGGAGTGCAGTGGAGGATGGCCCAAGTGCTTGGGCCCTGCACCCCCATGGGAGACCAGGAGAGGCGCCTGGCTCCTGGCTTCGGATTGGCGCAGTGAACCGGCCGTAGCAGGCCATTGAGGGGTGAACCAACTCTCTCTCTGTCCACTCTGCCTGTCAAAATAAATAAATAAATAAGATAAAGAGCAACTTATGAAGACTTTCTGGGCTACTACATATGCTACAATGGGTACAATAAAATTACAGTACAATTGTGTAACAAAACAGTTTATTTTCTTCCATTTTCAAATGGTTTATATAAAAGTTATACATGTATGCATGTATATATATATATGTACACAAACATAAGGACACTTTGCATACAAAGGGTTTTCAAAATGTTCGTGAAAATATGTGTATTAGGAAAAACTGTGCATGGATTTTATGTTTTGCACCAAAATAAACTTATCTTTTAATTCAATTTTTCATTAACTTTTAAACTAGCCTCATACTTTATGAGTTTTGTTAAAGGGATCTTCAAATTATTTACTCATTTATTTGCTTAGGCCACTCAGAAACAATCTGTTTTTCTACCAAACAATCATTTGGCTCCTACTTTGCAATTAAAACCACAAGCTTCTCTAAGCATAAGCCTCCTTTGGTTTATACAGTCAAGCAATGTTTCTCAGAGTTAAGTACGCATTAACATCATTCATAGGATTCATTAAAACAAAGTTTTTTGAACCTATATCTATACTTTTTAAAATATTTAATAAAGTTGTAATTGTAGGAAAGTTTTAGGTGTTGCAAAGGCTTCAGGAATTTTACAGAAAGTTCTTGAATGCCCATTCTCTTTGTTACATTTGAAGTCTATATTTAATTTTTATTTTTTTCCTTAGCTTTTAACTTGTATCATTTCTCTGTTCCAGAAATCCCATCTAAGATACCACCTTATATTTAGTCACCATGATTTCTTAGGTCCCTCTAGACTGTGACAGCTTCTCAAGGTTTGCTAATTTTCAGGACTAAGTATTTGTAGAATTTCCTTCAGTTTGGGTTTCTCTGATGTTAGACAAGTGTTATAAGTTTCTGGGAGAAGACACCAGAGATAAGGAGTCATTCCCATCATATCATCATATCATCTCAAGGGTACATGCTGCAACATGACCTTGACCATCTGCTTTTAAATTATTATTCTCTCTATTTCAAACATTGTACATTTTAGAAGAAAGTCAAAATCCAAAGCCCTCACAGGATACGGAGTTAAGCTTCACCTTCTTTTTCTTCTCTATTTTTTAAAATTTAATTATTCATTTTGAATGTCAAAGTTACAGAAAGAGAGAGAGGGAGAAACAGAGGGAGAGAGAGAGATCTATCAGCTAGTCACTCCCCAGATGGCCACAATGGTCAAAGGGGGCTGGCCAAAGCTAGGGTTTCATTCCAGTCTCCTATGTGGGTAGCAGGGGCCTAAACACTTGAGTCATCTTCTGCTACTTTCCTCAGGCCATTAACAGGGAGTAGGATCAGAAGTGGAGCTGCTGGGACATGAACCAGTATGCATATAGGATGCTGGCATTGCAGGTGAAAGCTTTATCTACTACACAATGGTGGCTGCTCTTTACCTTTTTAAAATATGTTACACATTTATAGGGTACAATATGATGATTGACACATGTATTTAGTGTGTGAAGACTTCCCAAAGACCTTATTCCTAAATACAATTATAGTATTTAGGATTAATTTTCTGCATCCCATATGGGCATTGGTTCGAGTCTTAGCTGCTCCATTTCTGATCCAACTCCCTGCTAATGTGCCTGGGAACGCAGCAGAGAAGATGGTCCAGATACTTGGGCCCCTGCACACACAAGGTAGACAGACCTGGAGGAAGCTCCTGGCTCTTGGCTTCGGCCTGGCTCAAGCCAGGCTGTTGCAGCCATTTGAGGAGTGAGCCAGCAAATGGATGATCTCTCTCTTTCTTGCTCGCTGTCTCTCTCTCTCAAATAAATCTTAAAAGAGAAAGAAAGAAGGAAAGAAAGAAAGAGAGAGAGAGAAAGGGAGAGAGGGAGGGAGGGAGGGAGGGAGGAAGGAATAGAGAAAGAAGAGGGATAGAGGAAGGAAGGAAGGAAGGAAGGAAGGAAGGAAGGAAGGAAGGAAGGAAGGAAGGACGGACAGTCCTAATTGCTCCATAACCTTAGTAGTAATTGTCATCAGTTTTCTGGATTTTAGCCATTTAACCTCATTGTTATTTTAATGTGTGTTTCCCAAATGACAACCAGTTAAAATATTTTCATAAGCTTATTGCTATCTGTATATCATTTTTGGTGATGTGCCTATTCCAGTCTTTTGTTTACTTTCATTGCTTATTTTATTGTTGAATTTAAGAGTTTATAAGCCCAATCATTGCGGGAGCTCTCTGTCTGCTTGTCTATCCCATAAACAAACAGACTTCCTTATATAGCCAGAAGTCCTTTATCATATAAGTGATTTGCAAATAGTTCCTTCCATTCTGTGACGTCTTATCATTCACTTAACATTGCCATTTATAGAGCAAAATTCTTGATATGAATAACATTCATTCTATCAATTTTTTTCTTTCAGGATGTTACTTTTGGTGGGTTTAAAACCCTCATTAACAAAGCCAAAAATCATATATATCCTTCTGTTTTACTTTCTAGAAGTTCTATAGTTTTGCATTTTACATTTGGTTCTGTTATCCATTTTGGGTAAGATGTAAAATCTGTGTCTATGCAAAAAATTTTTCCACCATTTTTCCATTACAGTTCATTGAACTGATAATTCTTTTTCCACTGAAGTGCCTTTGTGCTTACGGCACACCAAAGCAAATACACACCTATTTCTACCGTGCTTTTGATCATCCATTCTCTTCATTCCTGGTATCTGCATTTTCATAATATTTTGCATTATCACATATTTTACCCTCTGCCTGGATTGGGCTTCCCCTATTTATTCTCTTGAAAAGTATCTGATCATCTTTGAAAATCCAATTCAAAAGTCAATAATTTGCTTGTGAGTCTTTTTTTTTTTGGCAAGTCAAATAATTTAATTATGTTTTTCTAAGCACTCCTATCACATTCTATATAAATCTTACTGTGGAACTAATCATAAATATGTCAGAATGATTTGTCTGTTGTGTCCTAACAGAACCAGTAGTTCATTGGCCTGATGGTTCATAAGATTCATCTTGGGAATTAAGAAAAAAAAAGTAGAGATATTCATTTGGTAATTATCATGTAGCTATGTAATAATTCAGCACTGGAAATCATTTTCATATTTTTAATTTCAATTTTTCAACAATAATTAGAATAATGGCTAAATAAATAATTGACTGTGAGATAAACATATTTTAATTACCTGTAAAACTAGCCAGTCTTTCTCGCTTAAAGGATGGTTCTTCTATGTCTTCTGCTATTGATTCGGTTGTTGATACACTTGACTTAGATACTGTACTACTTCCTAAAATTGACCTTTAAGAGTAATTAATATCATTACTTCTTTATTTAAATATCCTTATGTGTAACTAAATATATAAATTAGAACATGTCAGCATATGTAGAAATCAAATATAATATAATCATATATAAAGGAACAAATATAAAAAAGATTTTAAACAGTGAGTTGATTTTTAATATTCTTTAAATAAAAACTTAAAATATATTTTAGAATAAAGCATGTCAAACCTAAAATAATTTATGCCTTAAGTCCAAAAACCTTGCTATTTATATATTCAAGACAAAAATCCAAAACTTAGCCTCTTCATCTGCATATCATTCTTCCCTTAGCATTTTATTCACTTTTTTTAGTTCCTGAATCTTACAGAGCTATCACTGCAGGGCCTCCGTGTAGAATACTCTTTCTTTCATTTTTTTTCACCTGATTTCCGCTCATTGTTCAAATCCCATCTTAATGTAATTTGTTCAGTTTTATAAAGGTTCTCTGAATATTTAATTTAAAACAAATCTATGCACTCAGCAGAAAAACAATGGAATAATCCAAAAATGATTTCTTTAAACTTAACAATTTAACATTACCCTGTAATATTACATACTTTTTCTTTTCTATTTATAGTCTCAGCTTCCCACTAACAGTAGGTCAAGTGTATTGGAAGATCTTTTGTTTTACTTAGCACTCCAATGGCTTCTGTATGCAAACTTGGAGGTAGGCTCTAGAGCAGTATATAGTTACTCAGTACTAGGAAATAACAGAGAAACCAAACCCTGAAAGAACACAGATTAGCACAGGAGGATAGAAAAAAAAAAAGAAGAAGAAGAAGAAGAAGCTACCCCTTTCCACAAAAATGGAGAACAAATGAAGCTGAAGAAAAATGTCTAATAAGGATTTGCCATGAACTCTGGGTATGTGATGTTACCCCCATCTTTTGGTTTCTCAGGAAATATTAAGTTAAAAAATATTTTTTTCACAAACTTTTTTTGTGTGTATATGGGAACTCTTGAAAAATGCAGAGCTCTGCATCTAATTAAAACATGAGAGGAACTTAGAAATAGCACACTAGGAAGACAAGTTGAAGCTGGGGGGGCTGGAGACAACTGATACCCAAGTTACATATACACAACTTAAATGGAAAGGCAACATACATATTTTAAAAAGAACTATAGACAATAGTCTTTACCTTGTAAATTGTCCTAACATACTAGGATTCAATGTGTTCTGATAAAGACTGTAGGAAGCTATAAAGTCTGATCCAAGTGATCCTTCTTGTGATGTCAACAATTTACTCGGCTTTGTCGCACTAACATGTGGATCTGGATGGTAAAGAGGCCGGGGAGTAACATCAACTCCATTTATATCAAAAACCTGTGGGAAGTAGTTATTTAAAATGAGTTAACTAAAAATGATTAGATTTCTAAAGAATACATCACAGGAAATATAAATAAATGTAGTAGAGAAAAATAAGTATAATGTCCCAGGTTAGGTAAACACAAAAAAACTAAATATAAAAATGTATGCTTAAAAGTGTCTTTTAAAAATATATTTATTTACTTAAAGAAGACATGACACAGAGAGAGAAGAGAGTGAAGGAAGGAGGAAGGGTAGGGGGAAAGAGAGAGTGCGGAAGGTATCTCCCATCTGCTGGTTTATTCCCCAAATGGCTGCAATGGCCTGGGTTGGTCCAGGCCAAAATCAGGAGTATGGAGCTCCAACCTGGTTTCTCATTTGGGAGGCAAGGGCCCAAGTACTTGGGCCATCATCTCTTGCTTTCCCACAGACATTAGCAAGGAGCTGGATCAGAAGTGGAGCAGCCAGGACTCAAACTGATATGGGATGCCAGCATTATAGGCAAAAGCTTAGCTCACTGTGGTACAATGGAGGACCCTAAAAATTACCTAGATGTAATTTCTGTTTTTTCCTTGTTTTACCTATATACTTCAAGAAGTTTATGGAAAATGTGTACTGTCTTCTAATTCCATTCTTTTAATAATTTTTAAAGTACCTGCATATAAGTAATACAGTGATACATTGCTTAACACCAGATATATGTTCGGAGAACTGCATAATTAAATGATTTTGTCACTGTGCAAACATCAGAGAGTATTTTTTTTTAAGATTTATTTTATTTATTTGAAGGACAGAGTTACAGAGAGAGGTAGAGACAGAGAAAGAGGGAGGTCTTCCATCCTCTGATTCACTATCCAAATGGCCATAACAACCGGGGCTGGGCCAGGCTGAAGCCAGCAGCCAGGAGCTTCTTCTGGGTCTCACACACGGGTGCAGGAGCTCAAGCTCTTGGGTCACCCTCCACCTGCTTTCCCAGGCACATTAGCAGGGAGCCGGATCGGAAGTGGGGCAGCTGGGTCTGGAACCCGTGCCCATATGGGATGCTGGCACAACAGGCTGGGGCTTTAACCTGCTGCACTACAGTGCCAGCCCCTCATAGAGTATTCTTACACAAACCTAGATGGTACATGTCAGTTACTTGATATGGCCTCTTGATGCAATCAGGAGATGCATAAAGCAGGAGATGTTTTAGACTGCTGTTGGCATAAGATGACATACTGCTTTACAGCAAAATTTTTTGAATGAGTAAAATTAGCACACTCCATATAATGATGAGAAAGCATAGATTAGTAAATATGTAAATCTGTAAACCAGTCATTTATTATCAAGTATTATGTTCTATAAATAATTTTTTGCATAGTGGCACAAATTTGTTTAAAATAGCATCACCATAATTATGTGAGTAATGCTTTTCATTAAGATATAACAACAGCTACAGTATCATTAGGTAATAGGAATTTTTCAGCTCCATTACAGTCTTATGGGATTGTCATATATGTGCTGTCCATCTTTGATTCAAAAGTCATTATGTAGCACATGACTGTATTAATTTCAGGAAATTAGAATGGTCCAAAGACAACTCATTCAGATTAGTTATATCCTGGTGTATTTAATGTTATATGTGTAAGCTTTCTTAAAAACTCACTATTTTTCAATTAATATTTTATTAATATTTTCTTTTTTTTTTTTTTTTGACAGGCAGAGTGGACAGTGAGAGAGAGAGAGACAGAGAGAAAGGTCTTCCTTTGCCGTTGGTTCACCCTCCAATGGCCGCCGCAGCCGGCGCGCTGCGGCCAGCGTGCTGCAGCCGGCGCACCGCACTGATCCGAAGGCAGGAGCCAGGTGTTTCTCCTGGTCTCCCATGGGGTGCAGGGCCCAAGCACTTGGGCCATCCTCCACTGTGCTCCCGGGCCACAGCAGAGAGCTGGCCTGGAAGAGGGGCAACCGGGACAGTATCCGGTGCCCCGACCGGGACTAGAACCCGGTGTGCCGGCGCCGCAAGGCGGAGGATTAGCCTAGTGAGCCGCGGCGCCGGCCAATATTTTATTAATATTTTCTAAAGTGTTACATATTTTCAGCTTTTTGGTTTGGGTTCATTTTTAATCCTGTGAATTATGAAATTTAAAATGTAACAAAAATGTACTTAAAGGATAGGTATTGTGGTATAGCAGGTAAAGCCACTGCCTGAGACATAGCATCCCAAATGGGTGCAGATTCCTCTCCTGGCTGTTAAGCTTCCAATCCAGCTCCCTGCCAATGACTTGGGAGAATAGTTTTTCCATAATACACATTTTCCTAACTTTCTGATATCACAAGTGAAGCCATCTGGGTTTGGAATTACCTTTGAAGGAAGGATTTTAAATTACTTACATAAATTTGACTAATCCTTCCAATTTTCAGTTTTTGGTTGTTCCTTTTAGTGAAGTATAATTTTTGAGATGATTTTTCCATTTTACTTAACTTTTCAAATTCAATAATGGAATAAAATTACATATATCATGCATTACTTACCTTTTAAAGTATACAATTCAGTGGTTTCTGATACATTCATAGATATATACAACTACCACCATAATTAATTTTAAAACCTTTTTGTCATTTCAAAAACAAGCCCTACACCCTTTAATTATGACCAATTCAAACCCTGCTCTCCCCTTCCTGCCCTAGGCTACGACTAATGCATTTGACGCCTCTACAGATTTCCCTATTCTAGACTTTCATATGCGTGGACTCAGATACACTTTTTTTTTTTTAAAGATTTATTTATTGGAAAGTCAGAGTTACACAGGCCAGGGTATTCACTCACTGCGCCACAGTGCCAGCCCCAAGGACTTATATACTCTTGTGACTGGTTTGTCTCCAACAATAAAATGTTTTCAAGATTCAGTAATTGGTTTTAACAGTGTGTGTGTCCAAATGTCCTAACAGCACTCTGGCCTCATAATCAGCCTTTAAGGCATGCGGATCCGGCTGAAAAGCCCATGAGAGTATTTCAGGCATGGAAAGCCAAGACACTCTGGGGGAAAAAAAAACCTAAATGAAAGATCTCCGCCAGTGAGATCCCAGTGGAAAGAACGGGTCATCAAAGAAGGAGGTACCTTTCTCTGAAGGGAGGAGAGGACTTCCACTTTGACCATGGCCTTGTCTAAATATGATCAGAGTCAGTGAACTCAGGGGGCTTCCATAGCCTTGGCAGCTCATGACAAGAGCCTAGGGTGATTACTGAGGCCATAAACAAGAGTGTCAATTTGTTAAGTCAACAACAGGAGTCACTGTGCACTTACTCCTCATGTAGGATCTTTGTCCTTAGTGTGCTATACATTGAGATTTAATGCTATAACTAGTACTCAAACAGTATTTTTTACTTTATGTTTCTGTGTGGGAGCAAACTGTTGAAATCTTTACTTAATGTATGCTAAACTGATCTTCTGTATATAAAGAGAATCGAAAATGAATCTTGATGTGAATGGAAGGGGAGAGGGAGTGGATAAGGGGAGGGTTGCGGGTTGGAGGGACATTATGGGGGGGAAGCCATTGTAATCAATATTCTGTACTTTGGAAATTTATAGTCATTAAATAAAAGTTAAAAAAAAACCAGTGTGTGTGTCTATGTTTGTGTGTTCTTTGTGGTTTTCTACATGTAAGATCACGTCATACGTTAACAGTTCTATTTCTTTCCATTTAGATGTATTTATTTTCTTTGTCTTATCTAATTTTTCTGATCCGGGCTTTCACTACTAGGTCAAATTAGAAGTGGAAAAAGCAGTCATCTTTTTCTTTTTCCTAATGTTAAGAGAAAACCTTTCAGTCTTTCACCATTGAAAGGCCCATATTTTGGCCAGCGCCGCGGCTCAATAGACTAATCCTCCGCCTGCGGCACCAGCACCCCGGGTTCTAGTCCCAGTCGGGGCGCCGGATTCTGTCCTGGTTGCCCCTCTTCCAGGCCAGCTCTCTGCTGTGGCCCGGGAGTGCAGTGGAGGATGGCCCAAGTCCGTGGGCCCTGCACCCGAATGGGAGACCAGGAGGAGCACCTGGCTCCTGGCTTCAAATCAGCGCAGTGCAGCGCGCCAGCCCGGCAGCTATTGGAGGGTGAACCAACGGTAAAGGAAGACCTTTCTGCGTGTCTCTCTCACTGTCCACTCTGCTGTCAAAAATAAAATAAATAAATAAATAAATAAAAATAAAAAAAGAAAGGTCCATATTTTATATGTCTAAGTACATAGTATTAGTTCCCTGAAATTACATTATAGTTGTTTCTACTTTTTGGCTATTATAATTAAAGTTACTATGAACATTCATAGTAGTAGTCTGTGTATAAATTATACTTTCTCTTGGGACAGTAGAATGAGATAGTGGGTATATGTTCAACATTTAATAATCTGCTAAAGTATCTTTTAATTTTCCTGTCTATTAGTAGGGTATGAGAAATTTTGCTCCTCCACACACCTGCAAATACTTGATATGTTAAATCTTTTAATTTTAGTTATTATGATATGTATGCAGCAGTATTTCATGGTTCTAATTTGCATTTCTCTAATGATTAATGTCAATCATCTTTTCATATCCCCACTTGTCATCTGTATACCTATTGTGATAAAATAGTTGTTTAAACATTTTGCTTGTTTATTTACATTGGGTTTACATTATTTTGGGGGGCTATTTATATATATTAGTTATAAGTACTTTATCAGAATATACTTCATAAAAAGCTTTTCCCAGTGTGGCTTTTCTTTTCATTCTGTTAGCAAATATTTTTAAAGAGCAGTTTTAATTTTTATGAAGTCCAGCTTACCAATTTTATTTTTATTGGCTGTGCTTTTAACATTCTATGTAAAAATACAATGTGGCATTGGTTTTTGTGCCACCACTTCTGATCCTGCTTCCTGCAAATGGCCTGGGAAAAGCACTAGAAGCTGGCCCAAGTGTTGGGGCCTTTGCCACCCATGTGAGAGACCCAGATGAAGCTCCTGGCTCCTGAATTTGACTTGGTCAAGATCTGACTGTTGTGATCATCTGGGTAGTGAACCAGCAAATGAAATATAATATATATATATATCTCCCCCCACCACCGTAACTCTGATTTTTAAAGAAAAGAAAATCATTGCCTAAATCCATTTAAAGTTCTATATTACATACTATTCTGTATATATTATGCTTTGCTTAAAAATCTAAAAATTTAATCTTAATTTTGTAAGTTTTCTAATGAGGTAAAATAACAAACTCTTTGAGAATTTATTTTATGAAATGTCCACACAGTGCTCAGAGGAGTGTATGGTAATAGTATTGTACTAGCCATAATTAATACCATAAATTACTAGAGTTGTTAAAGTCATGAGTAGATTTTCTTCATTACACTCTAATATTTTTATTATCAGTAATGAGTTACAGGAGATGACAAAACTATGTTGTAATAGGGGCTGGTGCTGTGGCATAGTAGGCTAAGCCTTTGCCTGTAGCGCAAGCATCCCATATGGGCGCTGGTTTGTGTCCCAGCTGTTTCTCTTCCAATCCAGCTCACTGCTTATAACCTGGGAAAGCAGTGGAAGATGGCCCACCCCCATGGGAGACCTTGAAGAAGCTCATAGCTCCTGGCTTCAGATTGGCCCAGCTCCAGCCATTGTGGCCATTTTGGGAGTGAATTGGTAGATGGAAGACCTTTCTCTCCATCTCTCCCTCTCTTTGGCTATACCTCTACCTCTCAGATAAATAAATAAAATCTTTTAAAAATATGTGCTATAAGGAATGATATATGGCAAACAGAAAATCAGCATTTCAACATTAGATGTCAGTGTTTATTTGAAAGCAGCATATTTTCTATTTTAACACTCCAATCAGTTTGTTCATGGAAACATTTTAAAATGAACAGAATTCTAAAGGAGTATTACCTGTATTGTCTTTGTGCTAGGAGTATTCATTTTTTCTAGTGTCTTCACGTCAGATTGAGTAAGTGTGGTTTTTGACAGAGCCATTCTGCTTTGATTTGTAGTAATAAATCCTTTCGTTGGCATTCCTCTGGCTGCGCCAATAAAGCTAATAGACTTTCTTGTTTGTGAACCATTGTTCCTAGCAAAGGAAAACAAAATATAATACAGAGAATCCAAAACTGGAAACTGTACCAAAAATAAAAATGAATACCTTTATTTAGAAACATGAACAATCTCTAAACACAGACATGAAATAGCTAGCTGAAGGGCTGGTGTTGTGGCATAGTGGATAAAGCAACTACATGTGATACTAGCATTCTATATGGGCACTAGTTCATGTCCAGGCTGTTCCATTTCTTCCTTTTTTTTAAGATTTATTTTATTTATTTGAAAGAGTCATAGAGAGAGGTAGAGCCAGAGAGAGAGAAGTTTTCCTTTCACTGGTTCACTCCCCAAATGACTGCAATGGCCAGAGCTGAGCTGAGCTGAAGCCAGGGGTCAGGAGCTTCTTCTGGGTCTCCCATGTGGGTGCAGGGGCCCAAGAACTTGGGCCATCTTCCACTGCTTTCCCAGCCCACAACAGAGTGCTGGATCGGAAGTGGAGCAACTGGGACTTGAACTGGCACCCATATGGGATGCCGGCACTGCAGGCTGGGGCTTTAACCCACTGCTCCACAATGCAGGCCACTAGGCTGCTTGACTTCTGATCTGGCTCCTTGCTAATGGACTGGGAAAGGCAGCAGAAGATAGCCCAAGTGTTGGGGTCCCCTGCCACCCATGTGGAAAACCCAGATAAAGCTCCTGGCTTCTGACTCCTGGATTCAGCTTGGACCAGCCCTGGCTATTGCAGCCATCTGGAGAGTAAACCAATGGATGGAAGCTCGCTCGCTCACTCTCTCTCTCTCTCTGTAATTTTTCCAATAAAAAGTAAATAAATCTTTAAAAAAAGTTCCTTGAGATTTTATTATGTGAACCAAAGTTGTAAATAGTAATATGTCACTTTTTCTCTTGCAACAACTCTGTTGTTTTAATATTATTTTACATTAAATAACAGAAACCTAAAAGGAAACATTTATAACAGTAAAGGTTTGAATCAGATAGTCAGATCCAAAGTCTACACTAACTTATCTAGATCTTAGTTTCTTTATGTAATTGGAAAAATCCAGTATCCAATTCATAGGTTATTGTGATGATTAAATATAAATCAATTTATGCATTATGGCTAGGAATTTAAAATCAAAATATTCGTACATAGGAGAAAAATATATTTTTAAAATATTTATTTATTTATTTATTTGAAGTCAGAGTTACCCAGAGAGGGAGAGACAGAGATGGCTACAAAGCCAGTGCTGTACCAGGCTGAAGCCTGGAGCCAAGAGCTTCTTCCAAGTCTCCCTTGTGGGTGACAGGGACCCAAGCACTTGGAACGTCTTCAGCTGCTTTTCCCAGACCATTGGCAAGGAGCTGGACTGGAAGTGGAGCAGCTGGGATACGAGCTGGTGCCCATAAGGGATGGTGGCATTGCAGGTGGCAGCTTTACTCTCTATGCCACAATGCTGGCCCCAGAGAAAAAATAATTTATTGTTAGGTTTACTCTGTAAGTTTCTTCAGACAGGAATAACCTTATCATTTATTCATTAATAGTATTTGGTACTGAGGATTTCTATAAAACAAGGATGACACTCCCTTAGATTACAAAAAAGCAACTACGCTTCCAAATAAAACCTTTTCAGCAACACTTTGTTTCAAATCATAAAAGATCAGACAAGAATAAAATAAATATTCCTAAATTACAACAATCAGGTTCTCCTATTTTATTTTTCTTCATAGCACTTAGCACTATTTGACATTTTGCTTGTTGCTTTTAACTCAATAGAATATAAGCATGTTTAGGACAAGAACTTTGTCTTATTCATTGCTCTATTGCTAGCATTCAGCACAATGACTACTAGTATATCATGGACACAAAATATTTTTAAATAAGCAAGGGGGCCAGCATTGTGATATAGTAGGTTAAGTGTCCACATGTGGTGTAGGCATCCCATATGGGTGCCGGTTCATGTCCTGGCTGCTCTTCTTCCAATCCAGCTCTCTGCTGATAGCCTGGAAAAAAATTAGAAGATGGCTCCAGTGCTTGGGTCCCTGTGCCTACGTGGGGCACCCTGAGGAGGCTCCTGGACCCTAGCTTTGGAATAGCCATCTCCAGCCATTGTGGCCAGTTGGGGAGTGAACCAGTGTATGTAAGACCTTTCTTTCTATCTCCCTCTCTGTAACTCTGCTTCTCAAATAAACACATACATATTTACAAAAAAAATGAGTTAATGAATTTCATTTGTGTACTATTTTGAATTTATGTCTTTTTTTAAAAAAAGTATTTATTTGTTTATTTAAAAGTCATAGCTACACAGAGAGAGGCAGAGACAGACAGAGAGAGAAACCTTCTATCTCTTGGTTCATTCCCCATATGGGTCACAACTGCCAGCACTGGGCTAGGCCAAAGCCAGTAGCCAGGAACTTCTTCCAGTTTTCCCACGGGGGTAGCAGGGGCCCAATCACCTGGGCCATGTTCTGCTGCTTTTCCCAGGTCATTAGCAGGAAGCTGGATGGAAAGTGGAGCAGCCAGGACTTGAACCAGCACCCATATGGGATGCTGGCATTGCCCGTGACAGTTTTACCCACTACATCACAGCGTCAGCCCCAAATTTATGTTCTTCTTAAGTATCCTACCCTATCCTCCTTCCTTCTGTTTTTGAAGGACTTTATCCCCAACATCTCTAAGGAAATAAAAATATCAATCATGTAAAAAATACATCAAATTATGTTTTGACCTTCTTTAAACTCTTCCTTAGACTACTGCAAATTCATTTCAATCAATCCTTTATTCTTTCCTATTTCAGTAAAGAACTACCATCCTTATCTAAGACTCATATTTTATCTATGTTCTGGAACCCACTCTCCACCAATAATTCCAGGTCTCCTGTATCTTATTTCCTTCTGGCTGTTCCCCATTAACATATAATTATGCTACAGTTCTCCCTTCAACTTAAAATGTGTTCCTTTATCTATGTCTTCCTGCTATGGTCTGAACAGAATTTGGCTATCCAACTCAAATAGATATTTGAACCCCTATGTCATGAGTTAGTGGTGCTAGTTGAGTGAAGACTTGATCCAATTATGATGTTTAGGAAGGGGCCCTAGTCACTGAGGGTCTGCCTCTGAGGTGGTTCTCATGAGGTGGCCCAAGCTATTGTCTGCTTCCTTGTTCACTATGTTATTATTCCTTCATATACACTCTGCTATTACTTTCTTCATTTTCACCAGATGGCTGAACCAATGGAGCCTACCTGATTTAGGAGGGTGAACCTCCAAAACTGTGAGCCAACATAAACCTTCTTCCTTCATAAGAAGCTTCTCTCAGGTATCTGTTATAATGGCAAAAATCTGACTAATACACTCCTACCTAATATAGTATCTCCCCTTCCTTTCACAGTCTAATTTCTTAAAAATATTAGCCAATAATACTGTCTACTTCTTTATTCATCTTTTTGCTCTATAATTCTCAACAATCTAGCTCCACTCTCTCCTCTCCAATTACACAGTGTCATTAAAATCATCTACTCCTGCCGGCGCCGCAGCTCACTGGGCTAATCCTTTGCCTGTGGCTCTGGCACCCCGGGTTCTAGTCCTGGTTGGGGCGCCAGATTCTGTCCCAGTTGCTCGTCTTCCAGTCCAACTCTCTGCTGTGGCCTGGGAGTGCAGTGGAGGATGGCCCAGGTGCTTCGGCCCTGCACCCACATTGGAGACCAGGAGGAAGCCCCTGGCTCCTGACTTCAGATCGGTGCAGCGCACCTGCCGTGGCAGCCATTTGGGGGGTGAACCAATGGAAGGAAGACCTCTCTCTCTCTGCCTGTCAAAAAAAAAAAAAATCATCTACTTCTGGGGCTGGCATTGTGGTGCAGTAGGTTAAGCTCTCACTTGTGACAGTGGCATCCTATATCAGAGTCCTGGATGGGACCACGGCTGTTCTGCTTCCAACCCGGCTCCCAAAGAATGGCTCAAATACCTGAGGCCCTGCCACCTTCGTGAGCAAACAAGATGGAGTTCCAGGCTCTTGGAATTGGCTTATACCAGCCCCAACAGTTGTGCCCACTTAGAAAGTGAACCAGCGGACTGAAGACCTCTCTTTGTCTCTCCCTTTGCCTTTCAAATAAATAAATAAAAATCTTCAAAAACTTACCACTGTAGCCTTTGATAGTTGACTATTCCTCCTTCTGCAAATTGACTTCTGAAATTGGTTTCAATTATACTGCAATATCCTATTCTTTAATCTTCTTCATACCTCTAATCACCTGACTCTCTATTTCCTAATAACTAACCAGTACCTTACAGATTCTCTAGTTAACCCAGGATTCACAACTCACCTGTTGAACTATTCTTTCACCATTACCTCCACCTCTCTTTTCTTTTTCCTTAAAATTTTGCTCTACTGTCCTTACAAAATCCTGTTCTAGTCTCTTTTTCCTTTATTAGTTTCATCTTTTGTAGATTACATAGGTTCACATCTGTAATCTGTTCTTCCACTATGTACACTATCTGGGTAAATTTACTAAGAATCCATGTTTTCAATGATCACCCTTATTCTGCTTCCTAATGGCAGGTTAGCTTAATTACAGCCTCCTTTCTCCCATCCTCTGATGATTTTACAGGCTGAATCACTGGATCTCTCTCCAAAACAACTAATGTCACAATTCTTGAGTATTTCAACATCTGTGAAGGTTTCATTGTAATACTTTGACTTCTTAGCTCTTTGAAATCTTCTCACATAAAGGATTTTGCTTGCCTTGCTACTTTAGCCACTTATTTCCCTAGCTATACACTTGACCTTGTCTTCTGAAATGTCAACCATCGCTTTCTATTTTCCTAGCATATACACCCTTTTAAATCTCAACTTCAACTATCTTTTAACCCTATTATAACCTCTAAGCCCTTGGTTCTAGCATGTTTTACTCCCTCATCTACCCCTCTCATGCCATCTCTTCCCTCTTGGCTTAAGGATATTATATTTGATAGTAATTATTTTAAAATATATTTAAAAGATTTATGTGTTTATTTCAAAGGGGGGGAGGAAAGAGGAAGAGA